TGTCGCCGCTGCGGCAGCGGCGCCGGCGCATCCAAAACCGCACGTCATTGTTTTTTGTGGTATAGCCGCGACCCGAGGCGCCTTCCGATGCGATCCGACCCCAGCCGCTAATTAATTATTCACATATATTGATCATTAATTACACACCAGCCGATACCTTCCATCCGTTACCTTCTTAATGACGGCCAGCAATTTGTCGATCGTAATTATCTTACAAATCACACGCACAAAAAGGAATAATGATTTAAAAATTTTAACACGATCGAGGCATTATCCCGCGTACAGGTTAATAGCAGAAGGCATCGAGATCGAATCAATCTTAATCTTGTACAGAAACGTAATCCAGATTTATTTATGACGGAGGAGAGCGCGTGTGCTATTATGCTCGTCTGCGGCAATTTGCCTCGGAAATTGTCTTAATCGTCCGCTCAAGGGACTATTTATGTATAATTATTTCCAAATTCGACGCTCCGTTTGATGCCTTTCCGCTCTCTTTGAGGTAGTTCGACAAAAAAGTCATCTGTTGCAACAATTAAGCCAAGAAAAAATAGGAATAAGTATCGAAGGGTCCGCAATAATTACAGGCGAAAATTGACGGTTCCTAAGGAGAGCAGCGATCGAGTGGCGCCTGCCAGGTTACCTGCAGTCTTCACGCGATGCTTGTCCGCCACCAAACCTCCTATACATAAAGGATTAGAGGCATCGAAATGGCTAAGGCGATAACTATGTAAACACATTTTAGTGTTATCTCTTTCGATGGCCATTTAGATATCGATATCGTAGATAACGTAGATAGGCGAACAATCTGGTAAGACAAGACTCACGATTTTTTGAGAAGCAAAGATCAAAACGTTGATGGTCAATGGTGACAGCCAGGGGCGTAATAATTAGTTTCGAAAGCAAATAAATCATAAAATCATTTTTATGGATCATTTTCGACTTCAAGACTACTTGGTACGCAGCTACATTCGCGAGGTTTGTTATTTATTTCAGATATACGGCAGGATTCGAGTGAATGTTTTGGGTTTAATTAAAATGACAAATTAATGGGAAAGTAAAATGTAAGCTTGTTAATGAAGGCAAGTTTCGCATTTCATGCTTCAAGAAAGCTTTGTAATTACTAACATACTTACGTGGTTCACGAATTCGCAATGTCACTAATTATGTTCTCAAGTGAGAACCGTTTTAATTGTAGCTTTCTCTGAGAATTCAACTGTGAAGCATAACATTTTATATAAATTAAAAGTATTTTTAATTTAAAAAGAGGAGAATTTAGAAAAAAGCACTTTTAGGTTTGTTATTTTTAAACAATGCAGCTACAAGTTAAAAAATATTGTGTTAAAAAGTGCATGGATCCTTGCACCTTCCTGTAGTTTTATCGGATTGGTAGCTTATCCCAGCTCGTGTCGAACAGGGCTATTACCGTAACGCGTCTTCAACCTGCACAAGGGCAGCAAAAAGAGCCATTCCCATCGTCCGAGTTCAGAACTATTACCATTAATGAAGGTTTAAAGTTAAACCCTAACGGTGGACATTGTCGGACGGGATCCTTACCATGTAGTAGCCCATTCCTCTCCTTCGCCGTTCCCACGTCTAACGAGACTACCTCCATTACGTACAACATTTTACATACATTCCCTCCACTTATTATCAATGTATTAAGTAAATCGTTCTCTCACACTTTGCTCAATTTTATTTCCATTAATCGCTTTTCGATATTTTCGGTTCGGTGCCTGACAACGCCAGCTTAATACCTTATTTATTGTAATTCCTCGCGCCGACTTAGTAGATGTTCTTTAATGCGCTTTTACGATGTTTTCGTGAAGAAAGAGATGGCTGAGGGTAATTATTTAGCAGTGTTCTGCGGTTTTGTGAGGCGAAGCGGCCAGGGACTTAATGAGGGCCTGTGTAATAACTGGGGATTATTAATATGGACGTAGTTTACAGCGTCTCTCGTTACTATCTCATCTCTTATTTCTACTCTGCAGCGTGTTTACTTTACACTCAACACTCGCATACTATTCGCACCTTTCCAGATATCCTATTCCTCCTAATGAAAATCATTAATCATAAATGTGGATGTATTTATATCACGCTTTTATATCCGTTACGTAGTGCCATCCAGTAACTTTGCATTTGAGTTTTGCGTGCCAACGCTGTAATTCTACCACTAACATCCGTATTTTCTACGAAAGTTATCAAATACATTTAATTTTCTTTCAATTACTGCAAGTCGCAGTCGTAGTTAAGTGGTTTGCCCTGTAGATGTCACAGTTTCTAACCAGTAAAATTTCTTATTCGAAAGTAATCCATGTCTCACGAACTCTCATTTCGCGTATACGGTAATGAGTATACTGATTGACTTTGCATGCTGTTGGTGTTGATAACTATAAGCTTTCTCGCTTAAGAAATTGTTTTGAGTTAAACTACACCAATCTTAATTTCACTTGTATTGAAATAGTCAATGACTAAGATACATTTTGAGTTGTCGAAATTCTTATTGATTGACTTTCTCCTTAAATAAACAAGTCGGATTAGCCGGTGATCACGCAGATTACTGATCATAAATTGGACATTGACAAAAACTACATTGAAACCTATCAATAACATTGTAGAAGCCTCATTAATGGATTGAAAAGCGCGCATCTTCATTATGATGGACTTAGTAACTATTGTAGAAGAGTATTCTGATGCGGGCTGTTTGATTGTGAGCGCGAGGGAGTCGGCATGTGCGCGTCAGCGCCAAATATGTGTATGGAAATCGCTTTGGTGTTGGTGCACACACACGCCAATTATTTCCGCCGTAGTTTTCTCACGCTCACACACTCATGTGTGGTAATTTGCAGTCGAACGTAACAACGCGCTTATATTTGTTTGTGTGCGAGTTTATCGGAAATTAGTTCTGCTGCAAGCATCAGGGCATATTGGTGGAAATTGACAACACTGATTTTAATGATGGGAATCTGCGCACGTGCGCCCACATTAAACATTTACCTCATAGAGTGCCACTTTAGAACACTGCAAATCAGAAATTACTGTTGCAACTACTGATACCTTATGATTTTGCGTTTGTTTCAATTCAATGTTACTGTATGGCGACGATGACTACGGCTTGGTTATAAATTATTTACAAAATAGACCTTTTGCTTGCAGTTTGTGTATAATTAGAAATGTGGAATTTTCCAATTTGCGAGACGTAAATTGAATTAAATTTTTCTAGTAGGTAGTTCTAACTGCACTGCAAAAAATCTGTTTATATATTAAGTACAAGTAAAAATAAAGCAATGCAACTTGTAGCATTACAGACCATTCACCTCGAGTATAATTACAAGCTCTTTGCATAATATCCGTACACATTAGCACTGTAAAGTGATTCACAAATTGCTGCACCGAGACAAACTACAATAATTATGACAAGAGTAATTAACTAACTTATACTATGTCACCACTCGTAACTGGAAATTCTGTTTATTAGAAAAAGCTTTATTACGCTCAACATTTTCTTTACAAAGTGGTACTAAAATAACTTAAGTATTTATCGTCTAAGTAATGGAAGTAGAGGAAAATACGATGCAATAAATAAAACAATTCTTAGAAATTTTAGTTCTCGTTATCTGCAATGAACCGTGTGTAATTCCGATCATTTATTTACGACTTAAATAGAGCCAGCTGTCTATTTCGACAATTTTCATATTAATATAAACGGTTGTGAAGAACAAGGAAGTCCTTCATGGCAGATACATAACTGTCATACGAGCAAATATTTACTCTATGAAGGCCTGATGTGATATAATTTATCGAATAATAAATTTTCAAGGACCACACTCGACCGTTGAAAAGTAAACATAGGTGCAATCTTTTAAACTTATTAAATAACATTCGATGTTTTAATGTACCTAAGTAAAAATTGTTTATCTTCATTAGACTGCTTATCAAACAACCGCACTTCCTGCCAAGTTAGGGCATTGGTAATATTATAACACCACATACTTTTGTTTCACTCAATAGTCTATGATTAATTTTCGTATCTGTCTAATTACTCATTATCATATTAGTCATTTAATAACTAGTATTTTTAGAGGAAAACAATATAGTTTATTAAGAGCGAAGTGATAGAAATCAATTATCTTGTTAGTTGTCATCTGTCATTTTCCATTGACAACTTGAGTAAATATATTACTCAGTCCTCGTTAGGTATTTGTAGGGCGCGTATCTTTGATATCGCCAAGATAACAGAGATGACGGCTTAATCTCAATTTTAACGAATTTTTTCTTATAGATTACCAGTTTACAATTTATCAAAAATAAACCTTATCAGTTGAATAATTTTTGCCTTCATTTTTCTTTATTACAAGGATTGAAAGATGACTTTAGCCTGTAAAATTGGTGTTCATTGCGCCCCGAGTTTTCATGTTGCTTAATTGTAAAAGTGTCAGTATTGACAGCATTGACAAGCTGTCGCACGGATAAATTGATCGCAGTTGTTTGCGCAAACGTCTGTTAGATAAGCAATCATTACTATGTATTTAATTTGAGTAGGTTTTTTACCTTGATATGAATTCTATGGGAATTTTACTTTTATCAGAATATTTTAACTTTTTAGAAATGAGTATCCAATTGGAATCATCCTTGTTTGTTTGCATAGGGTATCAAACAGAATTATCTCAACAGTTTGAATATGATAAACATTAAAATTAGAGTTAACATTTTTTCCTGAACTTGTAGGAAAGCTATTTATACAGCAGTAGAAAACAAAAAAAATTATATAAACTAATCGCCACACCCAGTTCCGGTTTCGACGACGCCCGAATCAAATTCTATTCAACAATTACCTCCAGCAAAATAGGTAAAACTAGTCCGTGAGAAGCATTCGATAAATGACGTAATTTTGCGACTATGATAATAACGTTTTAGTTTTCCACGTATTATTTCTTGCTTGTTATATTATGATGGTTTTGATTATAAAATAAAGTATTAACTAAGATTTTTTGTTGTTACAGGAGAGCATGTGATGCCGGCCTTTGACGCCCGGCGCCATGCCCACGCCGCTGCAGCCTGGCGGCCCCGCTAGCGGCCCGCCCCCGGAGCGCAAGCGGCGCCGCAAGCGCGACGATCCACAAAACTCTGCCGCGCTCGAGCCCGACGACGACGACGACGACGGCGAGATGAGCCCAGAGGAAGAGCCGCGCAACGCTCCCGCGGCTCCGGCTGCACCTACGCCTGCGCCGTCTTCCGCGCCCGCGCCCACCTCACCCCCTGCAGCGCCTGACGCCGTCGACCTCACTTCGCGTCGTGACTCTCCGCCACTCTCCTCAGACGTCGAGCACTTCGATGGCAAGATCGTCTACAACCCTGACGGTTCCGCTTACATAATCGAAGACCCTGAACTGTCAGAAGGCGAGACCAGCTTACCCGACCTGCACAAAATCGAGCCCGGCTGCATAGTTGACAGTCGCGACAGCAACGTCGTTGAAAGACAGCTCGAGTTTCCTCAGATAGCGAGCGCATTCTACGTATCGAGGAATCCCTCATTGTACGGTGCATTATATGGAAGATTGGCAGCCGAAAGAGCGAGAGCGAGACCCGACGCACCTGTTATGCACAGCTATCGAGTATTTAGTTTTCGGGGTGGGAAAGATGCACCGAGACCACCATCACCACCCGCTGAATGTCCTGTTAGCGTACCTGTCAAACCCATTCTTATGTGTTTTATATGTAAATTGAGTTTTGGTTACGCTAAATCTTTTGTGGCACATGCCCAATCAGACCATAGTTTATCCCTGCTTGACTCAGAAAGAGACGCTTTGTCGCGAGATAATGCTTCTGCTATTATCCAGTGTGTTGGTAAAGATAAAGAGCCACTAGTCTCTTTTCTGGAACCCGTAGGTGCCGCAGCACCACCTCGCGCATCGGCGTCACAAAGTCCTGCTAATATGTCGGAATTATCGAGTCCGTCAGTAGAAAAACGTCCAGAGACGATGACATCCGACAAAGAAAACGATTCAATGTTACCCAACGGCACGTGTGAAGACAGAAGGCTAAGTCCACCTGCATGGAGACCTCCACGGTCTTTGGCTGACTCCATGATGCCTCAACATTCCTTGATCTCTGTGGCGCATCCTAATGCTATAAATGCGTCAATACAACCACGAATAAGTCCAAATTCTTCTCCACCTTTTCAAGCTACTCCTCCAGCGTTTCTTTCTGGAACTACGATAGGCGTTTGTCCAGATCACCTTGGAGGGCGACCGTCTGGTGCCGATTGCCCGAAGTGCGAACTGATTTTAAATTCGGGAAGATTAGGCGGTCCACTTGCTGGAATGCATAGTCGTAATTCATGCAAAACTCTTAAGTGTCCAAAGTGTAACTGGCATTACAAATATCAAGAGACTTTAGAAATCCACATGAAAGAGAAGCATCCTGAAGCTGAAACGAGTTGCATTTATTGTATAGCTGGTCAACCGCATCCTCGGCTGGCGCGAGGTGAAACTTATACCTGTGGGTACAAACCATATCGATGTGAAGTGTGCAATTACTCTACTACAACTAAAGGCAACTTAAGTATACATATGCAATCAGATAAGCATTTAAACAATATGCAAGAACTGCAAAACGGTGGTAACCCGGGGGACAACAGCATGCCTCCGGCGCCACAGCATACTCCACCTGGCCCACACAAACCACCACTGCCGCATCATTCACCTTTAGGCCAAAAGCCAAAACCTACCTTTCGGTGCGATGTCTGTAATTATGAGACTAATGTCGCACGCAATCTAAGAATACACATGACATCTGAAAAACATACTCACAATATGTTAGTTTTGCAACAAAATGTGAAACACATGCAAACACTCTCCGCTTTACATCACAGACAACAAAGCCAGCAGCAACTGGAAAGTTTGTTGCACTTCCACGGAGGCGATGCTCCTCCTTCAAATCCAGAGGCAGCATTAGCTGACATGGCATATAATCAAGCTCTCATGATCCAACTTATGACTGGAGGACCTGGACCTTCACCACCTGAATTGGGCGCGCACCTTGATGTTGGATTGAATCCTGAGGCAATGGAACCTCCACCAGAGCCAGCAGATCCGGAACCGGAGAGGACATTCCATTGTTGTATTTGCAATTGCTTTTCGACGGATTCATTAGAAGCGCTTGGTCACCATTTAGCTCAGGATCGCACTAAAATCAGAGAACAAGAAATTCTAGCACTCGTTGCGGGCCACTACGTGTGCAAATTGTGCACATACAAAACAAGTTTGAAGGCTAATTTTCAACTTCATTGCAAAACTGATAAGCACTTACAAAGACTACAGCACGTGAACCACGTGAAAGAAGGTGGACCAAGAAATGAATGGAAGTTGAAGTTCTGTGCTGGTGTGGGCACTGGTGGCGCAGGTGTCGGTGGCGTTCAAGTAAGATGTTGTGCGTGCGATTATTATACCAATTCGGCACACAAATTACAACTTCATGCAGCGGGAGCTAGACATGAAGCTTCTGCGCTTTTGCTTAGACATCTTCGAGATTGTGCGTCTCGAATACCCCGTGAGCGGCCTCGTGTATATCGCTGCGCCCTGTGCGGCTTCGGTGCGCCACATCGGTTGTCACTTCTACAACACGTGCGCTCAGTGAAGCATTTGCAAATGGAACAAATTCATCAACTCCAACGGCGCTCTGAAGGGAAAGATCCCACCCCCGACGTTGCAGAACTCTTCCAAGTCATTCCTCAGCCACAAGAACTACCCAGCCCTTTTGAGCAGCAAGAAGGTGAGTATTTTAGTTAGTAATCTTATTAGTTATACTTTTTATCGTAACGAACCTCCCCGTGACACTAATTATCTGAAGTGTAACCTTCAAGGTTTTGCCACGTGTTTTAGACCATGCTTATTATATTTACTCACATTGTCTTTTATATTCAACAGAATAGTAATAAGGAAACCGCCTATTTGTCAGATTGTAATTATTTAACCGTGACTATCCTATTGTTATTGTAGCTAACTTCCTCGAGATATTGTCTCTGTAGCTGTTACCTATTGATTGTACCAAACCATCACAGAAAATACTTCTTATTGTCGGTTTGATCCAATACACATTTCATTGACAACTTAAAATGCGTCCTGCGCTTGCGCACTCCGGTTACGCTGTATACAATTTCCTTCATCTACTACTCACTAGATGTCGCCAGTGGTTATAATGTTTTGTGCTTTTCTATCGGTGGCAAAACATTATTATTATTTATAACTTTCGAGCTAAACACATTTCGTAACATTTTATTCTATAAAGCGTAAAAATTCCATTAAAATTAATTCAACCAAAACCATTACCGGCGTTGGTATCGATAAAGTAATACTGAGGCAACTTATGAATGTGATTTCGAAACGTCACTATCGGTTTCCAATTTAAACCGATTCGTTCCTTAATCAATTTTGTTCTGCGTTTTTTACCAAGTGAACTTCTTTCAGTGGATCGTGCTAATAGACACACAATTTGTTTAGTGTTAATTTGGATAACATTTTTGTAAATCTATGTAGGTGTTGGGTTTTCGTCATCGGTAGCTCCATTATCGCGCTGCGCGTGACCCTCGGTGCGTCCAATCTAAGAGGCAATCTCCATTTTGAGCGATGAGCATTTAGCGGAGAATTCGTAATCACAATAATGAGATAATTACACACGGACAAAATTTAATTTAAAGCGCGCAACATTAGAACAGGTTTCTTTAATAACGTACGCCTTACACGGTGTCGCCACAGTCGGAGGCGGTCATTGGTTGGAGGCGACTCCGCCCCGCGCGCGAGGGAGACGGAAAGAAGATTTGAATTGAGAACGCGAATTTTCCATAAGTACCGCACGCGGGACAATGACTCGCATTACGTATGTGGCCGTCGCGCATTAAGGATGATTGCCCCCTTGTGATGAGGCTGCTACATCATCTTACAATGTCGCCGGCCGCATTGCCCGACGCATGTTTATGACCACGGTGAAATACGATAAACTCCAAGAGAAATGTGGAGGCGAAAGAAATCCGACTTACACCATTGTGCACCTCATGTTTATGCTTATTACTTATTTTCACCTTATTGAACACTCTCGCCTTAAACGATCGATTTAAAGTTTAGATTAACGTATTGGTTTTTGTTTCCATCAAAACATCATAAAGTTTGACGCCCAAAGAAAATGTTTCTCTTAAGTTCACACGCTTCTTGAGAATTGTGAATTATAAAAAAACCCTTACTATGCTTTTCAAAAAGTTAACAAATTCTTTTATTATTTTATGTTGCCCCAAGAAACATTGATGATATTCAATCAAAACCAGATAAAGTAACCGGTTTTAACTCATCTTATACACTCAAGCATTAGCACCCTTTCGTAAACTTTTTCCTATAGGTACTCTGTTGTTACGTCCACCTCTGAATTATCATCTGTTTATTATATATACCCAAATACCGTCAATAACATTGTCCTGGCACATATTTTAGCAATTGTGTACATTGGTGCAAAATTTTCCCTTTAAACATTTTCAAATCGCCAACGTGTTTTTTAAGTGATTTGTCTGATCAGGCTTAAAACAAAGCATTACTTTTGAACCACTAGAAACCCCAACTGTTGCACAGCTAACAGACACAAAAGTGTTCGTTTTCTTATTGTATCCCTGACGCCACATTGTAAAAATCCTGACCTAAATCTCGCAAAACAAAACTCTCTGCACAATGCCTATTTTACGACGCTATAACGATGTGGTGTTTCCTTAGAAAAGACCCTTTGTGCATTGACAAAAAGCGTTGGAGATCACATTTATGCAGACAAGGTCCCTTTACCTGACCATTGTTCTATACTCCTACCAGACGGTGGGTCGGCGATTTTACATCATAAATAATTACATTCACTAGCCAGTCCAGCCTGGAATTAGGGTCAGTTGCGCTATGATTATTATTACAGACTTATTTTTCTCCCCTTCATTAGATGTAACGGTTTTAACTGCTTAAAACTATAGAACGGGTTCTCAAACAGGGGACAGACCGGTTTCAGCACAGTGGACGGTAATTTCCAGTTTTAATTAAGTGAAAAATCACCACCTATGTGCCCGTAAAGTTTTTTGCTTGTCTTATAAACACAAAATATTCTGTACGTTACACATACTAGTTTTCCTAATCTTTCCAAAACCTTCATTCTAAGGGAACCTTTTGGTTGATGGATTTGTTCCGGATTACTGTGCCAATTTTTTTATTATAGGTACCTTGTATCCTAAAATGAACACAATAGCCGGACGGGCCGTGAGTTGTTCATCTAATAAAGTATAATTGTAACGTTACATTAACGAATCTGTGCGTTCCCCACTTCGGCTGTTTCTTTAACCTTCCGTATTTGAGCGTAAACAATGAAGGCCAGCTTCTTTCACACGCTGCCGCGGACTTATCCCTTGGTCAAATAATAATTGCACACTCACATGTCTTGGATACAGTTGTCTCGCTCGCTCCTACAGTCACATATATTGACTCTCTCAGTGCATGCATTTGATCCGATGCGAAACGAAATATTCGAAACCTTTTGTAATAATGAACAATGATTGTTTGCTCGTCCTGTATCTCTTTTGTGTGCAAAATTACAATATACTTGTTACGTTAGTATTAATACCTGTAGATGTGTGCGTACGGGATGGATGGATAGAGCGATACCTTTGTCTTGCCGGGACGTCGCAAACAAAACGAGTCTTGCTAATAATATAAAAGCGAAGAATTTTATTTTTAACTTCAATTCAGAAAGCAACAAATGTTCGCACCAAACAATACTTCGCTTCATTTATAGAAATAATCTTTTTTGTAGATAAATCCCACGTAGACGTAGGTAGAGTATACTTTATGGACTATTTGCCGATATCCATTCGTACTGCAAACTTCTTAGAGGGAGGTTCGTCATTTAAATTATTGATACATATAAGCATATTTTATATTTGAAATTTGAGTAAAAATTTTCTTTTTGTCTGCAGATAATAAGGAACCAATCGATCAAAAGCCTGAGCTGACTCAAGAACAAAAGATGCTACGATTTTTAGAACAGCACCAGCAACAACAGCAAGCACAGCAACAGCAACCTCTACAGCCACAGAGTTCAAATGAAAGAGATGAAGAACGCGAGACTCCAGGGTCTCACACATGCGTTTACTGCAATTTTAGCTGCGGAAGTGAAGCACGTCTACACGCGCACGTAAACTCCGTACACGGCGATACAACGAGACATTTCATATGCCCGCTTTGCCAAGATGCGTTTAAGGACAGACCGGCCCTCGAAAGGCATGTCATGCAAATACATTCAGTCAACTCCGAAGGCCTTCAACGACTTCTGTTACTCGTCGATCAAAGTCACTGGTTAAACGGCGGCGCACAAGCCCAAAGGGATGAGTCACGTCAAGGAGATGACGAACGGGAAATTTCATCACCTCGATCTGAAGGCAGTGTAGACGGCGAGACAGAGCGATGTTCTACTTGCAACCGCACTTTCCGTAACGTGGATGAATTATGTCAGCATCAGAATGAATCAGGTCATCTGGAGTTGAAACAAACTCCCCAGGGACCTGGATATTTCTGCTGGAAAAAAGGGTGCAACAGATACTTCGACACAGCTCATGCGCTTCAAAATCATTTTAGGGAAGCGCACGCTCGCAACTCCATCACAAACATGTCAGTGTCGGAAAAACATGTATACAAATATCGCTGTAATCAATGCAGCCTCGCTTTCAAGACAGTCGAAAAATTACAACTGCATACACAGTATCACGTAATACGAGATGCTACTAAATGTGTCTTATGTGGGCGAAGCTTTAGATCTGTTCTTGCTCTACAAAAACACATCGAAACTTCGCACTCGGAGCTCACTGAAGAAGAAATGACAGCATTCAAACGAAGTCTGGCATCCAATCCATTATTGCAAGCTAATCAAGCAACAGCCTTAGATGTTTCTACTGCAGAACTATTGCGCAAGGAGGCTTTAAGAACTCCTGATGACGATTTAGCTGAACTGGATGATAGAGATTCGAGCGCTACAGCCGCTGATGAATCAGGTCATAACGATGCTGAAAATTCAGATGATTCAATTATTTACAAAGATCAACAATTCTTGGAAGACTATTTGAATTCACAGGCCATGGCTGAAGATTCTTACAATGATCCAAACAGAAAATATAAGTGTCACCGCTGCAAAGTAGCTTTTACTCGACAGTCTTATTTGACTGCACATAATAAAACCCTTCTACACAGAAAAGGCGAAAAATTGACTTATCCAATGGAAAAATATCTCGACCCTAACAGACCATTCAAATGCGACGTTTGCAAAGAGTCGTTCACGCAAAAGAATATCTTACTCGTTCATTACAACAGCGTGAGCCATTTGCACAAATTGAAGCGAGCCATGCAAGAACAACAAAATAATAACAACCCTCCCGTGTCGCCCGGAGCAGGCTCAGCGCCCTCTAATTTAACACTCACACCTAAGAGTACATCGAGTGAAGAGGACGATCGTAAACGATACAAGTGCAACATTTGCAAAGTCGCCTACACTCAAGGAAGTACGTTAGATATACACATGCGATCAGTGCTCCATCAAACACGAGCGAGTAAGTTACAAGAGCTAGCCGCCGCCGGCCACGTGGACTTAACCCGGCCTTTGGTAGAACAACCGGACAAAAACGACCCTGTTAAAATTTTGCAAGACGTTTTGTCGCCGAAAAATACATCCCCTTCATCTACAAGCAGTGGGGGTATGCGGTCCTCGCCCCCCGCACGCACAGGTAGCCCGCGCTCCCCTCGCTCAGGTAATGCCTCGTGCGATCGGTGCCACGCGTCATTTCCTACCGCGGAGCTGCTCGACGCGCACCGTGCGACCTCATGCCCGTTCGGCGATGCGCGGGCGCATTCGCCGCTAGGTGAAGCTGAAGCAGCTGCATTAGACGAGATGGTCGCCAAGGGCAACCCGCCCAAACGCAACTCACAAATGTACAAACAACTACTAGAGACCTTCGGCTTCGATCTCGTCATGCAGTACAATGAAAATCAACGGCGTAAATTACAAGAAGAACGTGAACTTGCGCGGGCGCCAAGTCCTCCACCACCGCCGCCAGAAGAGAAGCCTCCTGATGGTGAAACAAAATCGACCTGTCAGCATTGCAACAAGGAGTTTTCTAGTGTATTCGTGTTAAAGACTCACTGTGAGGAAGTGCATAAAGACAAAGTTCCGTTGGAGTTTTTGGAACAGTTCGCGGAGCAATTCAAATCGGAATATGAGAGAAAATCTGGCGCGCCTAACTCCCCGCGCGCTGGTTCTCCAGCGCCACAGGGTGACAGATCGCCATCTCCTCGTGGTGACACCTCCAGCACCTTTAACGAGAATGGTAGTAATCAAGGTGAAGCTCAAGCCGGTGCGCTGCTAGCGGCTCAAGTACAGGAAATGCAAGCGGCACTAAATATGCTGCAACTACAACAGCAACTGGGAAATTTGCACCCTATGGTGGCGCAGATGTTATCGTTAGGGCTGCCACTGGGACTGAATGTCGGTGCTCTAGCAGCCATGAACCTACAGCCACCACTAGTGCCGCTGATGCTGCCACCGCCGCCCTTCGACGCAATGACTCCCTTCACGCACGACGCGCAACTGAAACAACAACAGCTGTTACAGCAACAACAACAGGTTAGTGATTTGTATTATTTTCTTTCTACTACTAACTACCTTTTCACATACTTATTCTTATTTTATAATATTCACTTTACAATTAAATTAATTCATTTTGCAATAATATATGTATATCCAATATATTACAATTGAATTTACAGTAAGTTTGCCTTTATTAAGAAAGGCACGCACGTGAATTGAGGAATCGAATTATGAAATTATTTCATATAATCTTTATGAGTCGTATCTATGTGTGTACCTAGCTTATTCATGAGGTTAAGAGACAATTTTAGCATTCAATCAATCCAACAGTAAGCGTCTGCTCAAATGATTTTTATTTATATAACTGTAGAGAAAAACGAATTTAAATATCCTATCGATAAATATAGTTTCGCTTGAGAAATTTTATATTAAAATTATGTTCGTTCTATAAACAATAAAGTTTAGAGAAATAACATATGAAATAAATTTCTTGAAATCACGTGGCCTCTGTAATTACATTTAACATAAAAGATATCGCAACTGCTTATTGTATAAACATTTATATTATTCGCAAAAGCCTATAAATCTTACGTAAAAGGCACTTCTGTTTTAGATCCTTAACAATATTTAAATAAAATTAATAGGTGCTCATATTTGCAAAGATTCACTATACGTACTTACTTTTACCTCTATAAATATCAGTAGGTACAATACCTACTCAAGCTATCATGTCTAATATTTACCTTAATGGGACGATCACGAGTCATGATTATTTTTGTCAGCCTACCTCGTAAGTCGAATCGTTGGGCCACAAGGATTTTACAACATATTGAAAGATAAGGGAGCGGATTGAACGTTAGCTATCTGTTTGCACAAAGCAACAGAGGGTCTTTTGTTAAGCAACTAGGGTCGAAGAATTATTGTTACCAACGAGCTGTTATTTGTTACTTACCTGTAATAACTGTAAAAAATTGTAATTAAAAACGTTTTCGTATTAAAGATAGTGAGTTTTGTATTGATATCTGGACTATCTGGTATATTATATTTATTTTGCTTGCAGGCCAATGCTGCAGCTGGACAAAAGCGAGCTCGGACTCGCATTACTGACGAGCAATTGAAAATTCTACGCGCGAACTTTGACATCAATAATTCACCGAGCGATGAAGCTATTGCGAAGATGGCGAAACAATCCGGACTAGCCACTAAGGTAATCAAACACTGGTTCAGAAACACGCTCTTTAAGGAACGCCAACGCAATAAAGATTCTCCATACAATTTCAACAATCCTCCTTCGACTACTCTTAATCTGGAGGAATACGAGAAAACAGGTGAAGCTAAAGTCACACCTTTAGACTCTTCGGCCAGTTCTGATGAAGGTAAACCACCCCCAGAAAAGAAAGCGAAGACAGAAGACCATCATCAAGACGTCAAATCAGAACCAAACGACGAGCCTTCCATAGAAGAAAAGTACAATTCATACGATGATAGACACCAGGAGGACAAGAGCTTTATTTTTCCTCCAGCTCCATTACAAAGTCCTGCTCCTAGCATGAATCATTCGGATCACCAACAGAATATTTCTCGGCCCCAGACTCCTACTCATATGTCTTTGAACTCCTTGATACAGTCTCAACTTGACTCGATCCCAGCTACTAGTATACCGCAGCCACCACATCCATCGATGCTGCCACCAAAAATAAATCCGAATTTCACGTCCCCAAACTCCGCGCCCCCGAACGTCCTATCTTTGACCCCAAATCGCAGCCTCAGTCCTGGCAGGGGACCGGCCGATTTCGGACTTTCCGGGGGCAACTCGAACGGATCCAACAGCTCGGGGTCTTCTGGCAAACGCGCCAACAGAACTAGATTCACTGATTACCAAATTAAAGTATTGCAAGAATTTTTTGAAAACAACGCATATCCAAAAGACGATGATTTGGAATACCTATCAAAACTATTAGGACTGAGTCCTAGGGTAATTGTCGTATGGTTCCAAAACGCACGCCAAAAAGCTAGAAAAGTCTATGAAAACCAACCTGCTGCTGAACCACTAGCAGGAGCGACTGATGATGCAAATAGATTTCAACGCACTCCTGGCCTTAATTATCAATGCAAGAAATGCCAATTAGTATTCCAGCGCTATTACGAATTGATAAGACATCAAAAAACTCATTGTTATAAAGAAGAAGATGCAAAACGGTCCGCACAGGCGCAGGCAGCTGCAGCTCAAGTAGCAGCTACTTTGAGCAGCGAAGATTCAAATTCGAGTACAGTAGAACACCACGCACCCCATGTGCCTGTTTCACCCGCGCCTCCTCGTACGCCAACGCCTGCAGCGGTTAACTATCCGGTTTCACCTGCGCCACAGACTCCTCATACCCCAGTGACGCCTTTAACACACCAACCACGTGACGATAAAGACGGAAATTTTCAATGTGATAAATGTAACCTAGTCTTCCCTCGATTCGACCTATGGCGAGAGCATCAACTCGTGCACATAATGAACCCAAACTTATTTCCCACCTATCCACCAGATTCCCCTTTTGGAATCTTACAGCAACATGCTCAGCTTCAACAACTTAATGCAACTCTTGGCAACGATGAAGCGCGGCACCCTTTAGTCGCAGCTCTGAATCAACAAGTTGCAAAAAGAAAATTTGATGAATTTGACGATCAAGATACTGGCGAACAACCAAAAGACAAAAGATTAAGGACAACTATTTTGCCTGAGCAATTAGATTATCTTTATCAAAAATACCAAATTGAGTCAAATCCTTCTAGAAAAATGCTTGAAAATATTGCACGGGAAGTTGGGCTGAAGAAGCGAGTAGTACAAGTATGGTTTCAAAACACGAGAGCGCGTGAGAGAAAAGGACAATTTCGTGCACATGCGCAAGTAATCAACAAGCGTTGTCCATTTTGTCCAGCATTATTCAAAGTAAAGAGCGCGCTTGAAAGTCACTTGAGTACAAAACACGCCGACCAGTGCGCGCGCGGTGAAATAAACGTAGACGCATTACCAGATGAAGAATTGAGCACAGAGTCAACCCCAAGCTTCGGCTCGCAACAAAGTGATCGGCAGCAAAATTTTTCGCAAGGGGGGGCCCCCATGTTGCCCCCTATTTTTCCGCCATTTCACTCAGACATGGAGAAGTTTATCAAACAGTACAGTGAGGAGTCAATGAAGCGGTATGTAAGTGAGCTACAAGCGCACGCTGCTGCTCAGCAGAACGGTAACAACAATGAATCCACTGAGCAGCATTCAGAATCTGGCAAACCGGAAATTCCTTTGGATCTCAGCAAACCCGTTGATCTGTCACGGCCTGGTTCTGACGCTGATGAACGGTCAGACACTGCTTCCGAAACTATGGAGTTTTACGAAGAAGATGATCCCACATCTCCATTGCCTGGCCAACAACAAACGCCCAGGCCGCCCGGCAAACGTTTTCGCACTCAGATGTCTTCCTTGCAAGTCAAAATTATGAAGTCATTATTTAACGACTACAAAACGCCGACAATGGCTGAGTGCGAGGCACTCGGGCGAGAGATTGGATTACCGAAACGTGTGGTACAAGTGTGGTTTCAGAATGCGAGAGCAAAAGAGAAGAAGGCTCGCCTGGCGGCTGGTTTGTTAGAGGTGTCTGATGCGCCACCACCAGAGGAATGTCGCGTGTGTGACTTCAAATACAGTCACAAGTATTCGGTACAAGACCACGTGTTCACCCGCGGACACATCGCAGCGGTGCGCGCGCGGCTTGAAAGCGGTGCTGGCGTTGGCGAAGAGAGTACGCTCGCGCTCATGCAGATGGCGGCACGCCTGGAGAGCGGCATGGGCGGCGACCTGCACAACGCGTTCCTGCGACCTCAACTTGCCGGCAATGGTGAGTGCACCACTTGACCGCAGTCCGCGTCGTTTAGTGCTCTTGAATACGAACACTACGCGACAACGGACCTGTTTTCGTAGATTCCGTAGAACCTCGCAGCGGCGAGTTCTGCTTGATTTGGAAATTTTGTTAAAACTTTGTTGACATGCACTGAAATTCCAAATTCAAGCAAAGCTCATTTAGTGCCGTGACGGTCGTTGCTATATTTTCCTACTAGTGAGTCCTTTTGTAAATAGCGTGTAGGTCTACGTGAAGTACTTTCGTGTTATCTCTATGTAGTGTTGGTATTTAATGTACGAAATAAATCACAAATAAAACATCATAAAGAAATGTCATCACGACATACCGATGAGTAGAGTTTGAAATTGATTTGATGTAACCATCTTCCGATAAATATGCGCCAAGTCGGTTGCTCCGATGCGAAAGGTAATGGCAGCACGCACGCAGCCGATTCAATCTCAGAAATTATTTTGTAATTCAAATAATTACTAGTATTGGTAGAAGCGTGGCAGCAAGAACGAAATAGTAAAAAACACATTTCTCAACCTCGTAATAATATCAATCTTTAAATTCGGTGTAAATGGTTTATGATTTCGGTCAGAACATTCTGTTTCAACCTTTTCTTTTTAGTTTCATTTTATTTATTGATTATATTATATATTGATCAAGTTAATTATTGCAGAACACAAGTGAATATAGTTATTATGAATATAGTTGGTAGTGTTGGATGCGCCAGCGGTTGTCATCGCGCCGCAAGAGGCGGATCGGTGGGCTGAGAGCCGGTGGGCGGCCGCTCTAAGCCGCCACTATTCAAATGCAAACGAAACACAACAATGGTAGGAGTTAGGACGCGTGAAGGACGTCGTATATCTAATGAGACCGATCTGGCACACATGCATTTCGCTCCACATGAATAATCAATTATTAAAATGACGCCAATCGAAAATACTCTCTCGGAAATATTACAAGTCTATTGTTTTTTCTTCTATTGATTTATTCGTCGCATTGAAAACCAACACCATGTAGCGATATAGACTAGTAATCTGTTGCATAATATTATTCTTCCTAGTTGTTCATATTTAAAACTCCTATTAGGTTATAGCGACTTGTCGATTGTTGTAGGATTGTAATGAAAACCAAATTATATATTTTAGAGAATTTAAAACGTTTTAGTTATTATGTAAAGTCATAGCGAAGCCTGAAGTCTATATTACTATTTAAATAAGGTGCCTTGTAGGATCCAAGTGTTTTGTAAATTATTTCATGAGCTCTACTGTAAATAGTTGATCGTGTAAAAGTATACTATTAGGTGTAATGATAGTGCGCTGTAAAATGTTTTCGACCGCTGTTCGTAACGTGTCTTGCGATACTAGTATCTATATGCATATAGGTATAAATAAATATGTATATTGTTTGTTTCGTAGAGGCATCTTAAGAACTTGTGATATAATGTATCTTTAGTTTACTTCGCATATCTTTGGCGTCAAAGGGCGCAATGCTTAAGTACAAAAGTACATACAGACATAACATTAGACGTTTGTCCCGTTTTACATAATAATAAGAAGTTAGGGTGTGGTGTCCCGCCGGCTGCAGTTTTTGTTATTCCGCATTTACATAAGAGTGGTTCGAAATTGGGGAGTTAGGCGATATGCAAATATTTTCTTCAAATTTAAATGTTTAGCAGAGGCGGCCCGCTCGTGCGCGGCGGTTTCTATACGGATTTCAGACGCACGCGCCGCGGGTGTGCTATTTCTTCTTTAGTATGTTGAATTTTCAGCTCCCGGTATTCGCCTGTGATACGTCTGAGGCGATCTTTCAAATGCAAATTTCACTACCATATTATCGCAAATATAATGTAATGACTTCGCATTATTTACTCCGGTCCGAATATAGTTCGTCTTGGCTCTATTCACGCATGTTTTTATTTGCATATCGCTTTTTGTTATATTTTTTACCATTTTGTTATGTTTGTATTTATTTTTGTTCTTTAGTTTTTATTTTAATTATTTTTGTTTCATTTAGATTTGAGTGTTCGTCGTAATGACGTATTAATATCGATTTGCCTCCAGTACGACTTCCAATAATTTTATTTTACTTTGTATAATTTAATTTTAAACTAATTATGTGCGATCTGCATTTACTGTTATTCAGATATTGTTTTAAATTACTTGAAACAAAGTCCAGTGCCAGCCAGTGAAAAAAATTTTTGGTATTATATTTTGACGATAACATTTTCGTCTAGCTATAAAGATTGAAAGTCTTGTAAACTGAATAGTATTATTATAATTATTATCTACAGTTATTATATTTGCAGAATTCGTTGAAATAAATGCAATATTTATATTATTGATTTACTTTTTTCTTTTTTTGTTACCTTTTGTTCCTTTTATCCTTTTGTTTTTTGTGCAAGTACGTTTGGTGCGGAAGATAATAAGGGTAACAAAGAGTTTGCTTAAACAAAGATAGCGCGAACCCCTGGTAAGATTTTAAGACATTAAAGTATTACTTAAAGGCAGGTGAACATTGGTTATTTCGGCGTTTAGAATATTGCAGTGTTAACAAAAGTGTTGTAAAGTAACCTGTACCTGTCGGAGATAAAACAAAGATGTTCTCTCGTTTCATTTGCAGACGATCGATGCGTAAAAGACGTGAAACAATACATTTTTAATATGCATCACTTTCCGCTTCGTGGGAGGTGGTTTTTTAAACTTTGTTCATTTACTATAGAGTACAGGTACAGAGACAGAATAACAGATTGCTAGTTTATTTGTTTAAAGTTATTTTTCCGAGAAATATTAATTTTGACGATCGTGACGGCACTCCGCTATTAGTTTTAAAGCGCAGGTTAAAATTTATATCACTGATGACTGAATGTGAAACTGCCATATTTAATTAACGAAATATTTGATGTTATTTTTACCTTATCGTGATGGAAATTTGTTCAAACAAACTCTTGAATTGAACACTTCGATTCGTTAATTAACTATAATGCTTAACCAACGAAGCCTTACAAATACATACAGAGAAAAACAATATTCTCAGTAAGTACATAGTAATAAATTTCATAAGTTGGAATCTTACATAAAGTGCCTTACTTAGCGATAATCTGAAATGTATATTTCAGCACCCATTATTAATTTATTAAGTCCAATAATGGTAGTTTTAGATTTCGTACAGTACGCAATAGATAACTTGACTTTTTGACTATTAATGACTAGAAATTAAATTACATATTCTCATCATAACCATTTCTTAAATTGCCCACTTTACACTTTAATAATTACCTGTACTTGTGATCAGCCTTTTACATTTCAACGATTGATGAACACAATTAGAAGTAAGCATATTTTAAAAAAAACCTATTCACAAAATAACCACCTTTTAAATGTACGCTTTAAAAATTACCTGTACATGTAGAAGATCTGGGTTCTATTCACTCTTGATCGTCCAGCAATACTAAGGTCTTGTAGGAGAATGTGCAGTTTAGTTTATGAATTATCATTTGCTTTAATAGTAAAGTATAATGCCGTCATGTCAATTACTTCGAAAATGTGTAAACTTATAATGGGCTAAACCTCTCAAAAGGATATGATGATAATGAATCACATAGAAATGTAGTTGCTGTACGTTGTCCATTTTTAGTTTCCGATATAATTTTAACATTAAATTAACAGCATTTTAGCAAAGCCAAAGTTTATTATTTTCACGTGTAACAGTGATCTTAAGATTAAAATGGTATCTATATGACTCATATGTGGTGCCGCAATAAACAAGATAACTATAAAGTGACATAGAATGAAACATGATCTTCCAATTTTTGTTTTAAAAAAACTGTAATAAGTTTCCACGTTTTTAATGACGAATTTTTAAGAGTTTGCGTATATAAAGCCTTTCGTATTATTTAATTAGACGATAAGAACAGTCCAAAGTCTTAAAGTCTTAAAGTGCCAAGCTTGATATGCTCTTGACTGTACATGTAGGGACGAAAAAATATATAAAAATACAAGAAACTCGAACTTTCTAACTCTGTAAACGATAGGTAGGTATCAACGTACCTTTTCCTTGATCAACGAACAATGAGCACATTTTTTCACCCACCCACTCTCCTTAAGAGTTCATTACAAAAAATATTAAATTACAAAAGTACAATGAAATAAGGTTGATGTTTATAAAAACCGTTATCGAGTTGCCTAATTATTTCATTCTATTACACAATACGTACCTACCTACATTATATAGAGAAAACAAGTCTCTTTTCTGTTTTTTGTTTGAAACACAAAAGGATTTTTTTTAATCAATGATATCATGGTAAGTAGATAAATGAAAGGCGAACAGACCAATACAATGGTATGGAAAATGTTGACAATTTGGGCATTACGTTATTGAGAATGAAGACGATTGAAATATATAAATATATTATTAAAAAACACTTTCGCATACTATACGAAATAGGGCTACATGTTTTGCAGACTGCGTACCACAGTGAGTTTTTATTTTCAGAAGTCATAGAAGTAATAACATTTTTCGTCTTTCAAGACTAAGGCGTCTAATTGGCCATACTGCCAGATTTTAGATTTTAATTTTTATTCAATACTTTTATTTTCTCACATTTTTTCTCTACTACCTTTACGGTGGCCACTTTGAATCTCGTTTTTAAGAAGTCTATATTGAAATGTATTATTCTTCTTTCTTGAATCTTAACTTAAAATTCAATTATTAATTGTTGACGAAATCTGTCTAGATGGACAATAAACACCACAACAATAAACAGTAATATACAACAACTGTCCTTTTCTTCATATTAGTACTAAAAATTTGATTAATTGTTTGTTCTTTAGTAAGACCTGACACAAATGGTTATTAATTAGTATTATTATGAATACATATCGCTATCAATACAAGATTAACTATTTATAACATTTTTTGTGATACCAAGTGACAGGACGAATAAGTCAAGCGCCAGGTTGTAAGCGACACGCCTGTCGTTCAATGCATTG